AAGTCAACGTTCTACCCAAAATCAAGGGTTTCGCCACCCTGTCAAGTAAGCATGATTACATTTACTTCTCAAAACTTATATCGAGTATTTCAATGGCAAATTTACGCGGCAATGGCGACATACCTGTGGTATAAAGCTATAAACTTTGTTTTGTAAAGCATATGTATAATACATCAGCGGTATCAAAGATTTAAATCAATCGTGCTATCGCAAAAACTTATGCTAAGCCAAGAATAATTTCCGTACTTCTTAAAAAGGAACTCAACGAGATTAATATTTCAATTTGGAAAATTCCTCATTAGTGAACACGATGTTTCTAACAGACTTAGATTTTTCTTGCAGATATCAACGAATGTCTGACAAGTCCCTGTCACCCACAGGCTGTTTGTACGAATATCCCTGGAAACTTCTTATGTACTTGCAATACAGGATACAGTGGGAATGGAATTGACTGTGTTGGTAAGACTTTGTTTCGTTCAATTGCTCCGGCCAAAGTCGAGGGTAAACTCTGTGTGCCACCCTGTCAAGTAAGGATGATTCCAGCACCCTCGCTTGCACTTGAAAATCACATTATGAATAAACGTTCGACATTTTGTTTGTGGAATGTTTTGAATTCAATCAAACCCCTGATTAAAAAGATTCGTTTGTACGGATTTTAGTGCATGGTGTAAGTTTGATGTGATGGAGTAAATACTCGTCGGTGAAAGTGGATTTTAAATACTGTCTGAATTGTAGTTGCATTTTGCTCCATGTGTTGGGAGCAGCCAATTTACACATCATACTTAACACATGCAGACTTCTGCTTTCTGATTTCCTGCAATATATCCCTCTAATGCTTTGTAAGGAAATAATAATGGATAAACTATTTGCCTGCTCGACCCATTCAGCCGTTGTAGCGCTTCACGGTGACGATCTTGAATCCCAACTCGTTACAGTCCTGGCATTTGCAATATTTTTCACGGCAGTGGGAGCCAACTCGCGCGAAATTACTACCCTCACTAAGTGCTCTCCACATGCACGGGGAAAAAACTACTCAAGGAAATGTGTTGATACAGGTATTGTACGGTTTCAACACATTTGCTTATCCAAGAAATTCTCAGAAAGATAATTGGGAGTGATATAGCCATGATTTAATGTATGTGAGAGTGAAATTCTTAATTTTTTATGTTGGCCAGGTGGTTATGTTTTCTTCTGTGTTTCTGTGGCTGTGTGTATGTTATATATCAGCTCGATAGCTTCAAATGTATCAAACATACTGATGCGAAAATTTGACGGACTAATTGGCCTTGCCCATTGTAAGGATTGATTAAACCCTGGGTTAAGTTTGAATGAACATTGGGTGGGAAATTAGCAAGAGTTAAGTTCGTCTTCTTTTGCTGGATATAGTAGACGACTTGCGTAATTAGCCTGTTGTGTTATTTATGCGTGATATATAACTTAATTCCTGGCAGAGGCTATGAATCAAAGTCTCCGAAGTCCTCTCTTTTTTACATTAATTTTAATCTAATTTAGTTCCTCCATGTGCCAGTGATCCATGCATGAATGGTGGAAATTGTTCAGATAGTGGATCATCATTCTTTTGCTCATGCCCGGATCGATATACCGGTGACCGCTGCCAAATTGATGGTAAATATTATTTCCAAAAACGTACTGAATCTATTTTTTCTTTCCCATTTTTATTCCAGAAAGAATTTTGTGGAATTGAGGTTTCTTTCATCACTAACAGTGCCCGCTCTTGTTAAATTTGAAACTATCCTCGACACTTTTTTCTTGTGCATTTGGATGGTCAGCAAAAAAAGCCCTGGTGGTCATGTCGCTGAGCATTCATAACATGACATTGTGGGCTTAGTCATTTTTCTTGTGCCTTTAACCTTAATATCGAAATTTTATCAATGAATCAAAAACTTTGTCAACAATATCTTGAATAATTTAGCAGTTTTCCTCATTAATATTCGGTGCGCATGTTCAGTTCAGATGAGCTAGCTCATTTTAGCCCTCAGTTTGTGGCCGCAATTTCTGATTGTGTGTGGTTTACTACTTTCGTTAACACTGCTTTGCACGATTTGCTTCGATTCCTTAAATTATAAACCGGTCATGCTTAAATGCAGCGTTCTAAAATTTAGAATGTACTCTTAAACCATATCCGTACCTATGTCTTGAAATTTTCGTCCAGGCAACATAATGACAAGGGATATAGTTATACACCTCTAAAACATGTATGACAATTTTTGGAATGGAAATTATAAATGATATTCTTAATTAGCAATAATACAACTTTGCGAGTTTTTACTATTCAACAGAAACGCCACCAGAATCTGACACAGAGATAACAGTGTTTGGCGCATCGGGAGATCAGGCGACAATTCCAATTGAAGAAACTGTCACATTTGCAGTTGTTTTAGTAATTGCCGAACAATTCGTCCCCGATCTGCAGAACAAGCGAAGTCAGGTTTTCAGAAATATGAGAAGTAGATTCCTTGTATTCTTGATTCCAATATACCGAAATAGTCGTGGTTTTATTGGCATTAAGTTCAATTCATTTTCCCCAGGAAGTATTGTTGCAGATATTAACATATTATATAATTCCACCGAACCAATTCCGACTGCTGAGGAAGTTCAATCACCACTCGTTGAAGCAAGAGATAATGGATCGGCGCCGTTTACTGTTAAAAGTTTACAAGTTGCGAAAAAGGGTGAGTTACAAGGTAGAAATATAACATACATAGGTAGAAATATAAAGCCCACATTCTTTTAATGCCAATAAACTGTTATATCATCCAAAGAAGACCACCTGTTTCATCAGTAAAAGCATAAATTGAAATCCTTCACAATATAAGTACAACATGGGAACGGCTAAAGGGAGAATTATATCCGAGAGTTAAGATTTTGGAAAGTTAAGTTTGAGTCGTGCCACCGTTCCTAACGACCACACCAAATTTCTTAACCCTCCCGATGATTTCTTTCAACTACCAGAGAGAGTTAAAATTGGCGTAAGTTTCTACCTTCAAAACTTAAAAATTTTAACATACTTGTAACTCTCTGTTGCTACGGTTTTGAAGATTTGTTATCCTGCATATTATTATAATTTGTGAAAGTTCTCTGGATCAATAATAACCAGCACAGTTGTAGTTGAATAACAATCGGTTTATGTCGCTGTCCATTTTGTAATGATATGTAATATAATTATAATAATTTAATAATTTATAAAGCGCTTTTTACATATAATGATCAAAAGCGTTCCAACCACATCCATCGCCCATTGCGAACTATTCACGCTCTATTTTAGGTGTGGCGCCAAGATAATAATATTCACAGCTTTAATCTTTGCAACGTCTTTCGCACCTTCGCCATGTGTAGTTCCTGCTTATATCAAGTACCTCATATAAAGGCTATCTAATTTGGTAAATCACATTGCATAAATTCCACATTTTCTTCGCAAAAGCTTTGTTTTATATTTAACCATTTTTAAACATCGAAATTTTATCAATGAATCAAAAATTATACCCACTATCTTGAATAATTCGTCAGCAGTTTTCTTCATTAATTCCACTCGACTAACATTCGCAATATTTTGTTGAGCAGTGTGAGGCTAACCCATGAATCTTAACCACATGCCCGTCATCAGTGATGGACTTGTCAATACACTAGCTCTCCTGTTTCCCAGATGTAATAACCGAGCGGAATTAGTGCCTGGGCTACGCGCTCTACTCGTACTCGGGCAGACTAAACGGCTACGTGATTGGACCATTGTACCATTTATTTGTGATATATAACTTAATTTCCTGGTGGGGGCAATGAATTAAAATCTACGAGTAGCGTCTGGTTAAAATGAATTTTAACATTTTCAATTTTAACGTAATTTAGTTCCTCCATGTGCCAATAACCCATGCATGAACGGTGGAAAATGTTCAGAAAATGGAACATCATTCTCTTGCCTATGCCCGGATGGATATACTGGTCGGCTCTGCGAAATACCAAGTAAGTATTATTTTCAAAAACGTGCTAGATGTATTTTTTCTCTTTCTCATTTATATTCCGGAACGAATTTTGTTGAATTGAGTTTTATGTTTTTGTGAAATTGAGTTTCGGAGCTTTGGTGGTGCAGTGTTCGTAGCAAGCGCCTTTCACCTCTGAGTGAGTTCGTGGGTTGGATTCTCGCTACGGACTCACGTGAAAAGTCAGTCAACGTCCTGCCGAAAGTCGTGGGTTTTCTCCGGGCGCTCCAGTGTTTTTTGCTTACGTGTATGGATGGCGAGCAAAAAATTGCTGCTTTCGGCAGATTAATATGACGCAATCACTCTATGAAATTTGGGGTGTTTGGTATAATAATTTTGATGATTTACTTCAATATATTTCCTCTGGTCTTTATGTCGTAGTTGTTCGTGTCATAGGTCTTAATATAACTAATAGTTTCTAAAGTAAACATATGCTTGTTGCTTGAGTATTTCTGTAATTGTTTCTGATATTCTAGGTATAACGCAGTATTGGCTGTTTTTTTTATAGTATTTTAATCACTTTATTTAAACCAACCACATTTAATATGTTTCAGCTTCAAACAATTGGCATATGTTTATTTTAGTTGTAGTCATCGTAACAATAATTTTTGTAATTTAATAAATTTTGTAAAAAGGTAGAGTGCCTCGCATGGGACTTCGAGTCCCGTTTGCACTCGTGCCGTTTGGTATGTCTTGTTTTACTGTCCAATAAAGTTTACAATATAATATAATACTCCTTTGTAAGGAATAAAGAAGATATAAACTCTTTCCCTGCTCGTCCCATTAAGCGATTTTAGTGTTTTAGGTTGGTGATTTTCAATCCCGACTCATTCCACTCCTGACATTCGCCATATTTTGTTGAGCATGCAGGGCAGGTTAACCCATGAATTTTAGCCATGCGCATGCCATTACTGATGGATTTGGAAATCCCCTAGCTCTCCTTGTTCACGGATGTAAATAGCCGAGCGAAATTAGTACCCACGATACGCGCTCTGCACGTCCCCGGTGATAAAAATGCTCAAGAAATGTCTGGTAGACTACAGGCATTATGCAGTTTCAACACCTTTACTTAACCAAGAAACTCTCAGAAAGACACTCGGGATTGATGTGATGATGACGTAATGCATGTGGGAGTGAAATTCCTAAACATTTATTACCTCCGCCAGAAAGTTAAGTCTTCCTTTTCGTTTGTATTTGTCCATACACTGCATGCGAGTTTGTCTGTCAGCTCAATAACAAAAATTTGACGGACTAATGGACATTACAATTGCGATTACAGTCTTTATCATTACTTCCATTATGTTACTGGCATGAGTTTTTGGATTTGGTTTTTTTCTTTAAAATGGTGAACAATCTGGTAATAATAGAACCTTCTGTAGTACCAAAAACTCGAAGCTCCAGACCGTCTATAAACACGGACATACCTAAGTTTGTCATTCCCAGGAGCAAAACGACGCATCAACGCCCGTTTCTAATTCGAACAACCAGGGTGTGGAACAGCCTAGCTGACGGACTGAAACTTAACATGATAAATTTGAACTCATTTAAATCTATTATTCTAAGTTATTACTTCCGTGCTTTGGAAATTTCCCACGATCCTGAAAATCCAAGAACATTCAAAACTATATGTACCAAATGTAATACCGCTCGAATTCTGGTTCAGCCTCTTAAGTGCTGCTATTAGTTATAGTTTTATTTATTTATTTATGTTTCTATGTCCTAATTCGGGCCCGCAGTAATTGGCTCACGCTGTTGCGGTCACCCTGCCTATAGTCATGTATATTATTCTTGTTATATAGTTTTGTGTATTGTAATATGGCGAAACTAATAAATAAATAAATAAATAAATTACCCATTGTACGGATTGATGGGTTAAGTTTGGATCAACACTGGACCAGAAATTAGCAAAAGTTAAGTTTAATTGTCTTCCTTCGGTGGTAATTGTAAAAGCCTTCAGTAGTTTGCCCATTTTGTTATTTATGCGTGTTATATAATTCATAATTTGCTGGCAGAGGCTATGAATCGAAGTCTCCGTGTCCCCTAGTTTACATGGATCTTAACATTTTTATTTAATTTAGTTCCTCCATGTGCCAGTGCTCCATGCGCGAATGGTGGAAATTGTTCAGAAAGTGGAAGATCATTCTCTTGCCTATGCCCGGATGGATATACCGATGACCGCTGTGAAATTGGTAAATATTATTTTCAAAAACGTACCTGATGTGTGTTTATCTCTTTCCCATCTTTATTCCGGAAATAATTTTGAGGAGATTTATTTCATCACCAACAGTGCAAGCTCTTGTTAAATTGAAAATATCCACGAGAATTGCTGGAGCAATACTGCATCGAGTCTCCATACCAATCTGGTATCCAGTGCCTTTTGCTTGTGCAGTTAGATGGTCGGCAAAAAAGCCCCGTGCTTGGTTGTTTACACGACTATAAGATAAAATATAGCAACATTTGCCTGTGACATCGCTGACCTTGAAACACAATCATTGCCTAGTTTGGTCGTTATTCGCTATTTTTAGAAAACACCAAAAGTGGCTTTGCACAAAAATGAAAATTTAAAACACAATTTTGAATTGATATGGCTCAAGATTGGAAAGTTTTTTATGACATAACAATGTGTCAAACAATTTGACTGATATCTTGCTCGACTGGTCCCTATTAGCATATTGCACGGATGCTATATGACTTTGCAGGTTCATATCTTCGCTTCGGTGCATGGCACTGCATGCTGTAAAGAAAAAAACACTACCGTTTGATTCGATGAAACAATATCATTTCTATGATGTTGACATTGGACTAAAACTATCGTTAGCGATTTATGACCTTTGAGAGTTCAAGCGATATCATATTTCATTATACTACTAGCCATACCTGTCGCCGAACATACCTTCGGCCACTTCGGACATATCTTTTTTGTAATACTCTTGTTTGAATCAGCATCCAAAACACTATTTAGAGTGTTATTTTCAAGCTTGTATCTTCATATAGTTCTCTTTTATTTCGGTATTGCAGAAAATTTATGTTCTTAGCGCGTCTCTTGAATCGGAAATACAACTTGAATCATCAAAAACAATGCGACGTTTGCACCATAGGAGTCTGGAAACACCAGAAATCGCTTCTACAGGTACTCCCTTTGGCATGCTTTGCACTTGTATCGGGCTATTGATCCTCCTTACAAACGCAAGAATCTAACATCTTGTAACAAGTCTACCGACAAGCCGTCAATGGATGTTTGGAACAACTTGTTGACAACTTGTAACAACCTTGTCGAAATGGTCAGATTTGTTGCAAGGTTGTTCTGACAGGTCCGTTACATGCTTGATATAACAAGATTGTTACAACCTTGTGTTGACAACCTTGTAACATCCTTGTTAAATCATGGCTGAAACAAACTTATCAGCACAGTCTTATAACAAGCTTGCTGGAAGTTGTTAACAGCTTGTTCCAAACTTGTTACAACAACTGGGAACAAGCAGAGCGAACACAACTTGTTGACAGCTTGTGAACAGATTTGTAACAACTTTGTTTGCAGACCTGTAACAACTTGTGCGTTTTTACGTGTGTATATGACCAAGCATACACGTGGTGCGCGCGTGCACTGTGATTTCATGAATGATTAATTTTATGCGTGATTGATTACTCACACACTCTTTACAAGAAGTTGAAAAATTATCCGTGGAAATTTTTTTGTCGCGAGGAGGACGTAACGAACATGTCATATTTGTCTTATTTGATAGTTCTTAAAACGCTGTCCAAACTTGCACCTTAAGAATACAAGTTGGATGTTAAAGCTTTCATTTTTGTGCACAAGCCAATTTTAATGTGATTCAAAAAACGAGCCTTCTTGCATGCAAAAGCTAAATTTTCATGTTTAATTTGCAGGGTTTTCAGATTTGTTACACCAATTTTAATATTTAAAGTTGCAACAAATCATGGAATTTTCAGACTTAAATTCTTATCATTTCAGGAAGTAGAAGTATCAGAGATTCTGATACTCTCAGACTTACTATTGTGGAAATATGCCAACAATTGCAGAGATCGAGTTGGTGTACAATGTATCAGAAATTCTGATACTTTCTAAGGCTTTTGTCCAGTAAATATCCCCAAAAATGCAGAGTCTAATGTCGAAAGTATCAGAAATTCTGATACATTCCAAGACAGCAGTGCAGAAAATATCCCTAAAAATACGGAGTCTAATGTCGAAAGTATCAGAAATTCTGATACTTTGCAAGACAGCAGTGCAGAAAACATCGCTAAAAATACAGAGTCTAATGTCGAAAGTATAAGAAATTCGGATACTTTCTAAGGCTTCTGTGCAGAAAATATCGACAAAAATGCAGATTCTAATGTCGAAAGTATAAGAAATTCTGATAGTTTCGGAGCCTTTTATATGACAAAAATTGCAGAAATTCGATGTCCAAGTTCACCTATTTCACCTATATACTGAAACGCTTGAAGCATACATTTTAAATAGTTACATTTGTTACATTTTAAATAGTTTATAAAGGCGCACTTTGTTTTCTGTGTAGTATTTTTTTCAACAGGAAAGAATGGCTCAGAGTAACATTTCTGCTAGCCGATTTATTCAAGTAAATATAATAATTATTTGTATATAATACATATATATTTACTAATGATTTTGCCCAGAAAAGGTTGAGATTCACCAGCATATATCTGTAGTTGAATAACGATTGTTTTACGTGTCCATTTTATAATTATTCCAGCCACATTTCTCACACCTGGCTAACTTTTGCTAACGGTATGGTCTGAGAAAGGTCGGTATTGCTCAAGTAACAGGTAGAAGAATCTTGCCATGTTATAATAGTTTTGTTTGTGGAAACACCACGTAAATTTATTACTGCAAAGCTTTCGATCCGTAAGCCCGGATCTTCATCAGTGCTAATAATATGAAATAATAAAGTATATAATAATAATATATAATAATAATATATCTTCATAATAATAATATATAATAATAAAAAAATAGTAATATAATAATAATAATATTTCTCTAATAATATATCTTCATCATATTATTAGCACTGATGAAGATCCGGGCTTACGGATCGAAAGCTTTGCAGTAATAAATTTACGTGGTGTTTCCACAAACAAAACTATTATATGTTTTATCGCCATGCAAACATACAAAGAACTTATTATATTGATGTTGTTAACCGTTCATTTTAAAAATCCTACTTTTAGTCTTGCCTTTTAGCCTTGTTTCACAACCATAAAAACCGTTAGAAATTTGTTATCAGTTTCTTTTAGTATCTCTCCTAGTTTTATGTTTTGAAGGAAGAGAGCTTTCGATTGAACTCTCTCGTGTTAGTTGAAAGGAAATATCAGAAGAGTTTGTGGTCGCTGGATTACGTTGACGTGGCTCTAACTTAACTCTACAAAATCGCTTCAACCTTCCCTGTAATAACTCTCGTTTTGTCATACCCAACTAATTTTATAGATCTTACACTAGCAGAGGAAGAGACAACGAATAAGAAAGAGATACGACTGTGTGAGGTATGTGGTGTCTTTAAATATTACTGGTACTTTACACAGTAGAAACATACATTAAACGTCGACACACAAACCTTTCAAATTTCAAAGCGAACTCTGATACTTTCTAAGCCTTGTATGCGCTAGGTATCGCTAAAAATGTAGAGTCTAATATCGATAATATTAATATGTGTATATATTGTATATATATATATATATATATATATATATATATATATATATATATATATATATAGTGCTCAATACCATGCAGTATTAGTAGAGCTTTATAATTGTTTTGTCTATACTTAATAAAATAAAGTCGCAACTCCGAGTTTCAAGCATTTCGTGAAGTTGATATAGGCTATAGGTTGATGGCGTAGCTATGGCATCCCTCTGGGTCCTTTGTTTGCTAATATCTTTTTATCTTTTGACAAAAGGAACTCGTGGGTCAACAACTTCCTTTCTGAATTCAAGCCTCTTTTTTACAGCCGGTATGTCGACGATAACTTCCTCCTCTTTCGTTCTACAACTCACATATCTTCGCTCGTCGATTACCTCAATTTTCAACAGCCATATATGACGAGAGCGAATGATATAATTGTTTTGTAATATGGTCTAATAGCCATTACCTGAATCAATAACTAATTCTCCTCTGTTATAGTAAGTGCTTGTTGACTGCAAACTCATTTGTTTTTCGTTTCGAATTTTTCGGAACAATTTATATTCTCAATGAACATGTTCTTTTCGCTGTTGTGTCGGTATTTATTATTTAAAAAAATTGTATTTACGTGATAAATCTATCTTGCTAGCCTGTCAAAATTGTTTGAGAGGTTTTTCTTGTTCGTTTATCTTGTAGTTTTGTGCCGCCATCTTATTCGCTAGTCGCCGTTCGTGGGCTGATATACGGCGAGTAGCTCCACAGGGGGCCCCACTAAGAGTTATGATTGAAATAATATTGTATTTATTTTTAAAAACCTGCTTGAATCCCTTGATAATCGATTATTTCTTCTCTCGAAGTTCTGTAAACATTTCGAACTGCTTGGAGTCATTATACTATCACTCTACATGACGTTTCACGAAGTATAGATGATCGCTGACAAGTAAGAACGCGGGCGCGAAAAGACGAAGGCGGCGAAAGAAGGTAGAATTAAACTAAAGGGTTGAAACTTCGGCGGGTCATCGTTTGATGTGTTCCATAAGTAGGTTGTTCTCCGGCAATTTCGCACGGGGCCCCAATGTGAGTTAGGATTGAAAAAATATTGTATTTATTTTTAAAAACGTACTTGAATCCCTTGATCATCCATTATTTCTTCTCTCGAAGTTCTGTAAACCTTTTAAATGGCTCGGACTCATTATACTTGACGTCACGAGAACAACCTACTTATGGAACACATTGTGCGAAAAAACCCTTCGAGTGTTTCATGTAAAAACATACGAAAAAACAATCGTTTATTGAATCTACTACATCAGTTGTGAAGATATATCCAAAAAGACATAGAATCTGCAAAAAAATATTCGAAAACACAAATAAATTGTGAATTTTAAGGCATTTAGAAATGTCATCTAGTCGAAGTTTCAACCCTTTAGTTTAATTCTACCTTCTTTCGCCGCCTTCGTCTTTTCGCGCCCGCGTTCTTACTTGTCAGCGATCATCTATACTTCGTGAAACGTCATGTAGAGTGATAGTATAATGACTCCAAGCAGTTCGAAATGTTTACAGAACTTCGAGAGAAGAAATAATCGATTATCAAGGGATTCAAGTAGGTTTTTAAAAATAAATACAATATTATTTCAATCATAACTCATAGTGGGGCCCTCTGTGGTAGCTCAACCAATTAGATTGCAGAATAGCTCACATACAGTGGATGACTATATATTAGTTTATAGCATTTCTAATTATGTTTGTCACCTGAAATTATTCTTGACCCTTAACCTTTTCTTAATCTCGAAATTTTACCAATAAATAAAAAATATTAGATTATAATACAGCCACGGTTCAATGCGAAATTTAGAATAAATATATTTTAAATGTAAATTTATTTTGATCTAGGTGAAATGGCTGCTTATCCGTGTCGTACCGTGTCTTGAAGTTTTCATCCAGGCAATATTTTGACCAGGGATATAAATATATATACCTCTATTATATGTATGGTAATTTTTTTGACAGGAAATAATAAATGGTTGCCTTAATTAACAATAATACAACTTTCCCAATTTTTACTATTCAACAGAAACCCCACGAGAATCTGAGACAGAGAGAACATTATTTACCAAAACGAAAGATCAGGCGACAATTCCAAATGAAGAAACCGTTACATCTGAAGTTGTTATAGTAATTGTTGAACAATTCACCCCCCCC